TATCACATGAACCCACATATCCGATTGTGTCTGTTCATCCACTTCATGTTTCTCAGTTTACGCGATGTGTTAAACCTCACCTAGTATCATTAACAACAACATGTCAATCCACTCAGTATCACAATGTAACCAATCATTATCACACTCACTAAATAAGTCTAGAAGATCTTCCACTGTCCTTTACCCCACACACAAAGATTCCATCCCAACCCACAGTCTCACTATTGATCTGTGACCTCATCTCTACCGTGATCTCAGTGATATAGAAATCCCACCTCGTCAGGCAGATTGTTATTCTAGTCACTCCTGTCTACTAGAAAACATCCCACTACCAAGACACTCTCCGCACCTAGAATCGAATTAACATCTTTACCTGTGTTACCTCTCTATGTAACCCACTAGTCTTCAATAAACTCTCTCCCAAGTTATCACACCAAACCTAACCATAGCTTACCAACCTTTACACATAAAACATATAACATTGATATTAATTTTATTATAATAACATGTAGTCATCGATCCACTATCCCTCCATCAGTCCACTCGCACCTCCTCTGAGATATCTGTTGTGTTTGCCTCTCATTCATGTCCTCTAGATGTACATGTCATAAATATTCTCTAACACTAGATCTAAGTAATAGTCTGTCTAGCTCACCCCCCTTCGTTCTGTCTACCATTGACCCTTCATACTCATCATTTAGACTAGCACAATAATTGACACAACGTACACCACTACAGTCTGTCCTTTCACTTCTCCACAATCCCTCCAAACTTCTACCCCTCTCGCTCACTATCCTACGCCCCCTCAATCGCAAATAAACCATCAGTTCGTACCGGTCCCCCATAGTCACTCCACTCCGTTACCCAATTCTCCCCCACTTATGTCTCCATCTCCTCATGTTTCTAATACACCCTATCCCTACAGAATGTGTCCCCACCCTTAACTCTATCAATATCCGATGCAGAAAACTATATATAATCCAGTCCAATGAAGACCTCCCCTCCAAATCCCATCTGTGTGTTGAATATAATATGAAAATAGTGTACACCACTGTCACTTTCAGACATGTGTTCTAGAGATCTCCTCACTCAAATCCCTCTTCATCTTGTCATAGAACCCCTTCCTGTCACCTCAACAATGTTTCACTACCAATGTATTGTCTCTCCCCCACACTACAACTCCTGTCATGCCTATGCTCCTTTCCCAGTCCCCTCTCTGTCTTTCTCATAATACGCCAGTTTATAACTCGCCCACTCTCTATCCCCACTGTACTGTGTGTCTTCACTACCAACCCGATCCAACTCCTGACACACCTCACTCCCAAGAACTGTCTCCCCCTCTCAATGTGATCAACGTACCTCTCTTGATAGGCACACTCTCTGAAGACGGGTTCGACTGTCACACACCGCTAAAACTACTCTATTCTCACTGTACTCTGAAGTCACCTGTTGAAACTTGAGTTATTACTGTCACCACTTCGTCCTTATCGCGTTCACTCTCATACTGACCCCTTACCAATCCTAATCTGCTCTTCTACATGTTTTCAAACTATCAATTATAAAGACTTCAACACAATATCCAGAACCAATCTTGTCCCCATATCGCAGAGTGCCCTCTACTAAAACCATCAATACCATGTTGTTTAGTATAAAGACATGTAACATCTCTAAGATCTGTCAGAGACAAGATTATCCTATGTAGTCTGTCGTATTTACGTAGTATCTACCACCACCTACCCTGTACCTAACCCACTACAAACCTAATCCTACTCCACCCCTATCGAACTCAAGTTTCTTGTGTCTAGTATACTTGTTTGTTTTTTCTCCTTTTATTTTCCCACTTCTACCCTCACCATTTGAACTCTGTATCCCGCCTTGTTACCCACTGACTTCCACGCAGACACTAATAAATTACCATTCTCCTCCCATGTTGGTCCTGCAATCCGTTCCATGTTTCCCTCCCCCTCTCTCCACATTGTCTACACCTTACAGTCATGTGTCACTTCTATTTCTCCCCACCCATTACACTCACCCCCACAATCCTTTGTCCAGTCGCTTGATGTCGTACCCCTGTGACTACCACCGACTCCCCTTTCCCACCACCGATCCCAAATCCACCCAGTAAGCATGTTCTGCCATAGTGTACTCATCTTCCTTCCTGACAGTTTCCACTCATTGTTATGTGTTACCTCTCTCTCAGCATGTGTATGTAGTACACTCTTGTCTAACTGCATTTGTCCTGTTCACCCACAATTAAGTTGTCGCTCATCACTGTTTATGCCCTAGTCCATCCTGTGTCCACATTTCAGACACTCTCCCTCTAACATCTATGTGACGTCCACGCACTCTAAAAATAACCCATATCTTCAAAATAGTCTCACCCATCATACCCCTCAACAATACCCCCCAAACTCAACACTCCCCCTCCTCCCCTACTCCATCACCATCACCACACATCTATCAAAATCCACCCCCCCCTCACACTAACCACACACCACTCCACATACGTCCACACTTAACACACGCACACACACTACTTCAACCCACCTCCTCCCCATAATCACACATCACCTCACTCCCTACCCCCCCATGTTAAACACAACCCTCCCCCTCTCGCCTCTCACCTGCTGACCTGTACTTCTAGTCCCCCGACTCAATACATGATATTACAGGACACATATGAAGTTACTGTGATGTCGCCATCACTCCCTTCTATCTCAGATATGGTCACTACTGTCATTATTACAACATATGAAGTGATTCATATTACCATGCCCACATGTTCTCCACGCACTCCTTTATCACAAATCACTCCACTTAACCAAGTTATTCCTAACACATTCTTGTACATGTCTGTGAGTTATCTCCGTCTCTCGCTACAACGTGTATTCGTGCCACATCTCGAGCCATCATGTATATTGTGTATCTGCGCAACTAACTACTACTCGTCTGTGACCCAATCAGAGTCAATAACTTCATAATGATCTGATCCAATAAACACCATTCCACCTTATCCAACACTGTGTTCATTACTGTACTCTGTGTCGTCACCATCATCCTCACATGTCTGAATCCCCACCCTTCATAACACTATGTCCCACGTGCCACCTTTGCCATCGACCTCCCACTGATCATCAAGAACGTTATCTAGCATACCTCGTAATTATAAACCATATACTAATTTTAAATCATCTATAACCCCCACCACCACTTCAAAATACACAAAATGTGTTGCCACCCTGTCTCTATGTTACTCTAAGAACCCCGATATCTCCTGTTAATCACTTGTAACAGATGTCTGTCCTCCTCCTTTGTTGCTCATCATCTGCCACATCTTCAGTGTGATCTGGCACACAGATCAACTAAAGCAACTCGAAGAATGCGCCAATACCTCACATGTCCAGTTCCCTCCGTGATCACTAAAATCCTCTTTATCACCAGTCTCTCACCTAGTCTCACTTGTTCGTACCCCACTACCCTCCACCTCTAATGCTAGTCAATATATTCTGTAAATAAATTTAATACCCTGTCTATCTCTCTGACAACTAGTGAAGTGATTCATCATGTGTGCACTAAACTTAATCTCTAGTATAAGTCTGATGTTTCAATCGCACGTCTACAATAATGTCTATCTAAACACGTAACATAGATTGACAGTTGTGCCAGTACCACCACTGTCTCTATGTCTGTCTGTAACTACATGATTGTCTACAGTCTGTTTTCTAAATTTATGTCTCTCTAAAATACTCTGCATTAGCCTCTGACATCCCCTCCTCCTCGCGTAGTAGATGTCTGTACTCTAGCACGTTTCTAATGTCGAATCAACTTGTCTGCTGAGTCTCGTGTCCACTGTATTTATGTTTGCTCTCCTCTTATTGTTCGCCATTACACCACGCTTGATGCTAAACACGCATCTGTCACATTTTTATTATGTTGCACCCAAAGTAAGTACCTATTCCTTCCTATTCAATACACAGACCGCACTTTCATTACTGTACAGTTGTCCAATAATCATGATCGAGTTCATAACTGCAACGTATTGACCTAGCCCTGTGCGCACGTTGTGTCCAGACACATGATGACCCAGACTAGCAATTTAACTGTTCTCTGTCATGTCTCGCATCGTCTCTCCCCACGATAATCAACTCAAGTGTTTTTATTTTTCGTGACTGATCGATGTGTGTTTGTTATAGTCACCTGCAGATTGACACTCACTAACATCACTGCCATATACAGGATTGGTCTTTCCTCACCACTCCTTTATGTATGTGTCAACGTTATTGCATCGTAGTCAATGATGTAACACACACTAACTGAGTCCTCCTGATTGATTCTAACTTCTCAGTGTACATTATGAACGATTAATTTTTCCTTTTCATCTGTGTGCGCAGAGTGCATCGTGTGTGAAATTGCCACATGTGATGTGTGTCTTAAGTTGATGTTAGATTGTATGTGTCGAGTATGTAGTGTATTATGTGACACCACCTACCTGCTCCAACTCTGAATTCCATTGTGTAAATTGTTACAATACTGTCTGAGTCAGCTGCTGTGCACGGTGCACCTCGACACTCACCAGTTCGCCAGTTGAGGCCTCGTAGATCAGAACACCACACAAACAACTCTCAAACACATACACACAGCGAATGGCAGGTCTAAGGCGTGCAGGTTTTCCGCTGGCTCCTCGTAGTTCGAGTCATAAAAGGCTCTCCGACATCGCAAGGGAACGGACAGACTGTTGTCGTTTTTTTCCTTTTGAGACAACGCGTTGACCGTTTTTGTGGGCCGCGTTGGCTCGTAGCCGTTGTAGAATAGTCACACACAAAAGAAGTAAGAGCGCTCAAGATGAAACTCGTGTAGTATTGATCGCCTGAGTCCTGATCTATCGGTGGATTGCTCGTGTGACGGATAGATCCATATTCTGTAAACTGACATGTGTGGGTGTACGTACTTGTCGAGAGATGATCACTCGGTATAAACGGATCTTTCGACTTGGCTGCGTGCTAGTATCGCGGTACATCGCAGTGCTCACGCTGGTGGAGTGAGAACGCTGTCGTCACTTGGTATCTGCTGCGCTTGCTGATGGCGTGGCACTCACGTCTCATCGCTAGACGGTCCCATTCCGCTCTCTCTCGCGGTGAGAGTCGTAGAGCGTATTGGGGCGGCCGTGTTGTGATCACTCTCTGCGAGTAGTAGAACTTTTGAACAGCAATTCGGATGATCGCATGTTGTTGCGCACGAGTTGATGGAGGCAGATCAGAGTGGGTAGCCGGTGCTTGTCTGTGCGGTGAGTGTGGAGATTGTACCATGCGCTCACGCAATCTGAGTACACACGCTTAGCCGCGCGGGGGTTGCAGCGTTGATATACCACGGCCTTCGTCACGTCTAGATCGCGGTCTAGAGTGAGACGAGAGCACTGAGAGCGCGCGATCTGATCAAGTGTGTGTGTACTGTCGCGCTTGGCTAAAGCGCCGCCGCACACTAAGATATGTGGGACGCGCCTATTCTCATGCGCTCGAATGTCGAGGTTGATTGACCGCTTATCAGTTGTCTAGTCTGTTGGCTGGTGAGGGGGAGAGGGGGGAGTGAGGGGGAGTCGCTGTGGTCGGTACAGTGCGGTAAGTCTGCGAGGTTTGGCCCTGAGATCCTGACGTCTTCTACCTGTGTAGTGCGAGGGTGTTACCCGGAAGAGGTTATCTCCCAAAAGTCTTATGTTTCTCATATAACATTCGCGTCTTCCCAGTAGCGATTGTGCTCTTGGGGATTGTGTTTGAGCGGTGTACAGGACTGGAATCACGGCACCTGTTGAGGTGTGGTTCAGTTTATTCATAAATTTCCCCATTTGTGGGATGGTTTTCTTATTGAATCTTAGTCGTTTGTTTAAAAACGAAGTGGAATATTTATTATAAATTTTACAAATCACAAAAAAACTAATATACAATATCAGGTGTGGACCCACTTCTGGCACTTTAACGTTTGTCAGCACCGTGTTCAGGTGACTGATCTTCAAGGGTCAAAATGCACTTTATTAATATTATTATTATTATTAGTTTATTATTATTATTTATTTTATAATATCATTATATTCTTCCCCTTTAATCCATTTCTGGGTCGGGGGTGGCAGTCAGAGGCAGCGCCCAGTGCACAGACCACAGCCCTCAACTGAACTTCTGAAGGGGTTAAAGTGTCTTGCCCAAGGACGAAAACTGACCAAGCTGTTACTCGAACCCACAACCTTTAGGTCATCAAGGCCAATGATTACAACTGAGCCACAGTCGCCCCAATTATTATTATTATATGTTTTTTACTTTGATATTTTTATTATGATTATTTTAATTATTATTACTATTATGGTTTTTTTGGGTGTTGTGTTTAAACCTTCTGGACTCTGACTCTGACTCGCACATGTCTGAGATCTATAGTCTGTTACAGGAGTGGACTGTCCGGAGTGTGAAATCAACCACAGGGTGTTTTTTCTGATTGAAGGCATCTGATTGGTCCATATATTTTTATGGCTTCATAAACAAAAGTAAAATCCAACATAAACACGAGGATCAGAGAGAGCAGTGAACCACGGTTATTAAGACAAGGGTTATTTGTATAGCACAGTTCATGAAAAAGGATACTCAAAGTGCTGGAACAAAACCAATGGGGTTTTGTTTTATACTGCATATGGAAATAAACTGGATCTGAATCTGAAACATGATACACACATTAACAGAAGTTTTAAAAAACATAGTGCGATAAAATCATGAAGATAGTATTGGATTTAAACATTGTCAGAGAAGTCTCACATTTTCCAGAAGACTGTTCCAGAATTTTAGCTGCATGTATTCAACCGCGGCTTGTTCTGTCACAGTTCTCCGAAGTTTCAAAATGGTGCTGGGGCTGAAATGTGGTAAAAAATGTTCATCCGTTGCCGGGTCGCGGGGGCAGCAGTCTAAGCAGAGTCGCCCAGACTTCCCTATCCACACACACTTCCTCCAGCTCGTCCGGGGGGACCCCAAGGCGTTCCCAGGCCAGCTGAGAGACATAGTCCCTCCAGCGTGTCCTGGGTCTTCCCCGTGGCCTCCTCCCCAGGTTGATTTGATTTGCAAATTCAATTATGCATGCTTTGGGATGTTAAAGACATAGCGTGCAATTTTAAAGGAGCTACACAAATAATAATAGTAGTTTTAATAATGCATCAGTTTTAATAATGCATCAGTTTTATACAGCGCTTTTTTGGACACTCAAAGACACTTGACATGTCATTATTCAATCAGTGGCGATAAACCTCTACTGTAGCCACAGCTGCCCTGGGGCTCACTGAAGACATTTATGTAGATTTTATTTATGCATGCCTTTGATTTTATTCTGATTTAACTTGTTTGCACCGAGAGCCAAAGCAATTTCCTAGTTTGTGACTTCTTGTTACTCACATGTTGTTACGGCCCTGAGCCTATATATATTGCTCCCTGTTTTTGTGTGTGTGTGTGTGTGGCAAACCCTCCTGTCTGAAGATCCCTGGCCTGTCATTGGACAACCACTGGCCCTCCCACCTCCCAGAAGTTTGTGACTCAGGTGCTGATTGGAGGAGCAGTGGTGCACCTGGCCCATTCAGCTCCCTCACCTGGAGTCACTCTCTTACTTAAGGCCACACACCACACCCGTTCGGGGCTGCCAGCCTGTGTGTGGCTGGTATACCATTGTCCTTATGGTGTCTGTCATTGTCACAGTGGTGGCAATGACTTAAAGACGAGTCCGTATAGCTTTGTTTTGGTTTGTCTCTTTTTATTTGTCACTTTGAGGTTTTGTTTTCGTGACACTTCACATCAGTTGAGACAACAGTAGGTTTAGTGTTTATTTCTGTGTATTAGTTTAATTTGGTAGCGCTGAGTTACCCCCTTATGTCCTGTCATGTGTCCTTTTGCTTTTTGTATACTTATCATTTACTTGCCTTTTATTAAATACTTGCTTTTCCATTTAACATCTTGGTTTTCATTTGTTACCTCCCTCACCCTAGCTGAGCTGGGTCGTAACACATGTCAATAGAAAGGATTCTGATTCTGATATAAGTGAGGCAACCAGTATGTGCCCTCTGCCCCTCTGACCACCACCAACCATTCACACACACACTAGACTCTAGGTAACGTGGGTGAAGTGTCTTGCCTCAGGCAGTGGTTCTCAAATAGATTTAAAAATATGGTCATGTCTTAATGAACTCTATACACCTTGCTATGAACCACATTTGTTCTTTTTTTTGGTTTGTTAGGAAGCTCTCCGGGCTAGGTGTTTATTTTTATGCTCGAAGAGACAACATAAACAGGGATGAAGAGAGAGACGAAAATAGAGACGAAGTCACCCAAAGACAAGGAAATATGACGAAGTGTTTGTAGCGCTTCACTGTGAGAGACTGTGTTTACTCTGTCTAAAAATTCGGTTAGAAATAAGTTAAGGCGGCTCAGTGTACGCCCCAATCACTTTTTTCAGCCTAAACGTGCCGAATATTGCCAACTGTCATCCCGCTTTGTGAATGCGACGTTAGGAAACCAAAGAGCTCTGTTAGCGTCTGATAAGGTCATGTACCAAATTGCTCAGTGCAACAACAAAAACCTACCACAGCAGAGGAGCTAAAACTGTAGCATTCGACATAATCTCTGTCATGCTCCATAACGCAAGTGCTGCAAAGTTAAAAACTATCCCTCTGTCCAATACTGTGGCTATAATATAGATAACATCCATAATAGATCCATGATGACATCGCTAACACGCTTCAAGAACAGCTGGTACATAAACTCAAAAACGTTTTTGCTACAATTTGATGAAGCAACTGACAGCAACAAAGAATGTATGTTTGATGCTTATGCACGTTTTGACTTTGCAAACGCCCGGTGAGGATCTACTTTTTTTAATATATATGTCAGAGGCAGCGCCACAACTGAGGAGCTTCACAGCTGAACAGCTGTGCTCTATCACCGTGATGCGAGGTGGCTGACAAAGGACACGTTTTGTTCTGGGTTTTTGAGCTCAGAGAGCAGAGTGTTTTGGAGCAGGAGCACAAGTATGAAGATGCAGAAGAATGTAGTGATGAGAACTTCCTGGGAAAACTGGCCTCCCTGAGTGACATATTTGGAAAGCTAAATGAACTAAATCTACAGCTTCAAGGGAAAGATAAACGCCTCCCTCAGGTCACAGACAAGATCAGCTCTTTCACTCGAAAGCTTGCAACATGGAGCAGGAAACTTGATGAGGGAAACCTTGATTCATTCGAGAACTTTCATGAGTTTGTGGATACTACTGACTATGATGCTACCTCAGGGATCCCAAACATTAAGCAGCATATTTAATCACTGATGGGATTCTTTAAAAAGTACTTGCAGTACAGTTTCCAGTATGACTGAGAGATCCTTTCAATGCACCAGCTCCAACTGGTTTCAGCTCTGCAGAAGAGGTTCATCCACATGACGTCTGACTCCACGCTGAGACTGAGGTTCACCTCACAGACACTGAGGTTAGAGAGGCAGTATCCAGTCTTAGGGAACAGGGTTATGGGCATTCTTCTTCCTTTAGCAACTTCTTACCTCTGTGACACTGGATTCTCTGCTGATGCTGGACTGAAGACTAAGGACAGGTCCCAGATAAACATTGAGCTGAGAGTTACAGCATCATAATGCTTCAAACCTTGCTTTGAAAAGTTGTGCACTGAAAAACGTGCTCATTGTAGCCATTAATCCTGACATATTGTGCTCCTGAGTTCATGTTGCTGAACTGAATTTTGTTGGTCATTTATTGGTATTACATAATCAGTACCATTTTTCATTTCAGGCAAATTGATGTGCTTCTTTTGTTACAAAGAAAACAACTTTCATAAAGTTTTTCTTTGTTGTCAGTTTAACTATATTTCTTTCTTTCTTAAGGATACAATGTTATGCAGAGGTGTACTTATTACAATTTATTAGACAAATTAAATCTATTACAGTCGTGCTCTGAGGGGTCAGTTCGGCACTTTACAGCCGCAGCCGAACTATAACATGTCTTTTGATGAGATGGTATCAAGAAAACGGTATATTTCACTGTCATTTGTGAAAAAATCATTTTTAAAGAAACTCACTGTCATCTTGGTTATAGCCAAAACACGTCAGAACTCAGATAATAACATGAGATAAGAGACTTTACAAGACGGAAAATGTCAGTGTCATTGTTGTGCACATCACAGGACAGTAGGAACAAAAAAGAGCACCCAAGCATCAATCTTAAACTTTAAAAACTGACATCCTCTTAGCCGGGCCATATGCCGTATGGGACTTAAAGGTGTACTATGTAAAAT